AGGAACAGCAGCCATACTATTGTAATGACCACACTGTAACCCCACATATTTACAGAATATACACTACATAGCAATTTAACATTTATCATCTTATATAATATTTGAGTAGTTTGAAGTATATTTATGGTATAATTATAGACACGGTGCATCTTTACATAGATAATGCAAGTTTCAATTGTCTCTACTGGGTTGTGGACATCAAGATTGCCTTTGAATTGTTGTAACCATCATTACACGACCTCCTAAAGCTAATAAAACAATGTTTACTGTTCCAGCGTTTTCCAAGTCTATACTTTAACATGTACACTGGTACAGCTAGGAACCTTTTTCTCCTCTGTCATTCTTCCTTGTGGTCTTTAACTTTTTGTTTTTGTTTTGTTTTGTTTTTAAACGGGGAAGGGAAAAGAACAAAATTAATTCAAGAATTTCCTTCTGACCACTTCCCCATTTTTTTTTTTATAATTTTAATGGCTTTGTTATTATTTATTTTCACTTGATATTGTTATTCATTTTTAATTTACATCTTAAATCTCTCATTCCAAAGTGAATGAACAGAGTTATAAACACATTTACACAGAACATACACAAAGTAGATCTTTACTGCTGTACTAAAGTATATCTTCTCATGGCATTACCTAATCATATAAAGAATGTGTATTTGTATAAAGTGTATTTTTAAATGCAAAATAAAATTTTTGTGTACTTTATGTATCACCAATTCACGAAAAAACATTGGAACTTACATTTCATGATGAAGCAAAGGGTAATGAAGAGAGTCAACAAGAAGAGAACAGAAGTCGAAGCTGCAATTATGATGGCTCCACTGGGAACTGTAATCAAATTAAATTATTATATCACAGAAATTCTGACCAAGTTCAGTACTAGGATTTATTTGCAAAAAAAAAAAAGTATTATAGCAGTAAATCTTTTACTGATCTCTACAATATTACATTACACACCCCTGTTTGGGGCAGTTTGCTTAAACAAGTTCTTTAAGAAGGCAATACAGATCTTTTTCCAAAACCATTCACAGTCAGTGGTCAGTTCCCACCTACATTCAATCATCAGTTTAGTTAACCCCACAAACTACATGTTTTTGGACATGTAGTTAGGCATGGGGAGAACATGCAAACACCACACAGCAAGTCCTTTAAAATCAGGTTATTTCAGTTTTTCATTCATTCATTACCTTTATTCTTACCTGTCTCTGTTTCACAGAAAGATCTGAGCACCTTCTTAGTCACGTTCCAGCTCACTTGGTTGCTGTGATTACAGAAAATGGTGTCTTGCTGCAGGTAAACAATTAGAGAGGAAAAATTTTTTGTGGCCTTCAAATCCTTTTCTTCTGCATGAGAGCAGTTTTTACCATCACATCTGAAACTACTACTGATGTTAAAGTCCACTGTGCTGCAGGTCACAGTCAGGTTACAGGAGTCTGAGCTCTTGGACACAGACTCCACTGTCAGCTTGGCAGGAGTCACTGGATCTGGCGAACAACAGGTGTTAAAGTATTTAAAACAAGTCTATGACTTATCAACATTTCAAAATAATTATGAAAAGAGAAACCTACCTTGAACTATGACCTCGTACTCAGCTACCCTTTTCTGTTTTTCGCCGATCACAACTGCAGTATAATCTCCACTGTCATTGTGTTGTACATTCTTTAATATCAAAGAGTAATTTGGTCCAAACAGCTCAGCCCTTCCTGCATATTTCTTATATACGAATTGATCTTTATTAAAATCACATTTAGCTATAGTGTTACTGGAATTAAAGTTCCAGAACACATTTGTCTCTTCTTCAAGTTTAACAGGTTCATTTATATCCAGATATAAGTCCTTTCCATGCAACAGAAACACAGGCTGGAGCCCTAAAAGAAAACAATTAAAAAATAGAATTCAAAAATTAACAACAACAATAACAACACTAATGTCAGAATTGTGTGCATGAAGCTATATACTGTAAAATTTACTATAATGACAGAGGGTTATGTCAACTTAGCATCACAAAAAAATAATGTGGAATAGTATTTAATTCTCCTGTCCAAATAACAAAAAACATGTCAGTGTTGACTGTGTGGCAGGCAGAGTCAGACCCAAATGCAGGAGTTGGAAACAAGGGAGGTAAACTAAGGCAGTTTTATTCCTGAACTTAAACACAATACAGAATAATCCAGACTGAAAAACAAGGTAAACAATCTATAACTGTGTTGATGCATGCTCAATCATCCAGGTAAGGACATCCCAAAAAGTTGATTCTGATCATCTGGATGCAGCGTTTTTACTGGGAAAAACATTTTATCACTGATCCAAGACCGAAGAAGTCACTTGGATGAGTAACAAAATGTTTCTCTCACTGAAAACGCTATATCCAGATGAGCAGATTGGTAAATCTGTGAGTTTTCAGGGAGAACAGACTGCAAGGAAGGACACAACAAAGGACAAAAGGAGACAGAGACAATACATAACAAGGGGAAACACAACAGGTGGGAAGATAACTGAAACAAATCAGAGATAATTAGACAGGGGGAGTAGAACTGAATATAAAATACAAGAGACTAGAGGTCACCAAAGTAAAGAAGGAAATGACTAACACTGGACACCTGAACTTGACACAGACAGAAGCCAAAGCATTAAAATAAGTCTGTCCCAGAAAGGAAGACTGGGACAGACTGAAGACAGAAGGGAATAAATATCATCTAACAAGAAACCAAGGACCAGAAGCAAAGCTAGCAAACAAAAGGACCAAGGAACAATATCATAATCATTATACAAGGTTCAAACATAGATTACACTTTAAAAACCAAAAGAATATTCCAGAAAAAATTCAAAACCCTGACAGAACATCAAAATAGTGAGAATACAACAGCAATGCTCCTATATCAAATGCAGCTTTTTATTATTTATTTGCTTGATAACTTTTATTATTGTTTAGCCACATCCAACTGCTTGCTGTCTACGATGTCCAGAAAATAGTGTGGGCTTCACAAGGCAGATAAACTCTTTGGAAAACCTGGTTGTTTAGAGTTAAAGCTTCCATCCCATGGTGGTGCTGCACATCTCATAACTAGAGATATGATGAATATATTAAACCACCCAAAACACATCTATGCAGGGTTGAGACCAGGAAGCAGAGAGGCAGTCTTACATATCTTTCAGCTGCTTACATCCTCATTAAATGCCCACCAAGTCCCCATCCAACAGACACTGTCTTCTCACAGACCACAGAAAATGAACCAGAAAACAAAATACGAATTACCCTTAAAATTCATAAACAATAATTATTTAAAATTATTTCTGACACACCAAAGAGGAAAACTGTTATGTATTAGGTAATAAATACTTGGTCAAAGTTCAAGGTGGTGAATGATTTTAATAATCAAGTCTTACTAACTGCCAAAATCCTCAAACACATCTGAAAAACAGAATTTTTCAGTTTATACGTCAACCAAATACAGAGCCCCGCAAAGGAAAAGGGAGAAAAAATATAAAGCTGAAGATCTCACAATTGTTTTGGCCGCATTCTTCAGAGGCCACCAGTTTGAAGCCGACCAGGAGGTCGAGGCACGATGTGCTGGGAGTGCGGTGTTCCCCCTGGCTGTAGTGGGCCTTGACCTCCTGTTAGCTTCAAGATGGTGGGTAACAGACGTCTCCGAAAATGTCGGAGCACTTTTGCAAATATTTGATGTCTTGATAAACCGAGCAGATATTTGACATTTACACAGCTACATTCACGCCTCAAAATATCTTAAAAGTTTATTTTGTGACACAGAAAGAGTAATATTAAATCTGAGTAGCTGCTGCCATTGTTGGAAACTAAATGGCTGGGCCGCGAATAGGGATAGGTTGGGTTACAAAGGATACACCGACTCGGTCTTCAAATGCGACCTGCGAAGTATGCAGTCTATTTTGCGAGACCTCGCAAAAGTTCATCTTAATTTTTTTTTCTTCCCATGTCCCTTGCAGTGCTCCGTACCTGCACCTTATTAAGAGTTTTGAGTCTCAGTCCTTTTCTATGATTTAGTGGTCAGTAGGATAAAATCACATTAATGTTGCCAGCGTTTCAACGTAATTTAAGGAAGTTATTCCACTTTTATTGTTTTCATTGTTATATGCTGGAAAAATCCAGAGCAGCTACCAAAGCTTTACTACAACATACATGAGTTATCTTATTAATAGTGCTGGAGCCTATTGGGATGGAATTGTTTGAAGTGCCTCCATTCTATGCTATATATTAACTAAAATGCCATATAACCATATAGCCTAGTATTAAGTGGACACGGCGCCAAAAATAAAGGCATTAGACTACATGTGCTTGGGGGATAGAATGCTGTAGACTCTGGCTCACGCTTGCCTGGGAGAGAGTAGATAACAGGGGACAGTGGAAAGTTACTGAAAACACTGTTGTTTAGACTAGAGAGGGACCAGCAGATTGATTGTTTGATTTTAATTGATTGTTTAATCTGAGAAAAACAGGAATGGGATATTATACTGTTTTATGATGCATTATACTTCGGATAAGAAATACTGTTTGTGTAGAATCGTGGCCTTATTTCTCTGATTAGAAAGAAAAAAACATACTGCACGGGAAACCAAGGTCATAACTTAGGCTCACTGAGAGAGAGAGAGAAAGAGTGTGAATGCTTAGTCTGGAAGGGCGCCGAGGCTATAAGAATGTGAGAAACGGTCAGACACTTCGAGATTTTGCTGGACACCCTCCAGTGCACATCTCCCGTCCGGACGTTTGTAATGCTCAAAGTGTTGTATGTAATAAAGAGAATTGTATGGAATAAAAAGATTGTTTATTGAGCATTAAACACCGAGTGTTGTTCTTCCCGCAGCCCAAAGATCAAAGAATTGGGATATTTTAACAAACCTAACTTAGTATGAAACAGGATAGTCTGCATCAAGGATTCTCCTTCATACAATTTAGAAGGAAGAACCTAAAAAGGAAGTGGCTTTCCAGCAATGTGGAAGACTGTTGTCTGAAAAAGAAATGATGTAATCATTAATATTCAGGTGGAAAAATAAGAAATAATCACACATTTCTTTTCAACACTACCTTGCTGACAAAGACTGAGAGCTCTGTTGAGCCTTGTGTTACTTTTGAAATTAATTCGTGAATATCTTTATAAATAAAATGCTACTTATTATAAAAAATTATTAATCACAGACTTATAACTTATAACACAAACTAGTGATTGATTCTTTGGCCTCTGTGCTTGTCTGCAGCTGCACCTCACTTCAGCATCCGATACAGCTGATCCCAACATCTACAGCAGGACTCTATAGTGCAATCAATTTTGTCGCAAATGGGACCTAAATTCTCAATGGTGCTGATAAAAAAAAAAATCCTAGGTCACACCGGTGCAACCAGCCGTTCCAGTTACAGTCTGCTCAACTCTGAAAGTCTCTGTGTGGCCAACAGCAGACAATACGACCATATCGTAGCCTAAACCAATCATGAAGGTGCTGCTTAGAGTAGCTGAACGCGCCGCTGAAGCACCGCAGCACCAAATCCGTGCTCCGCTGTCCAATCAATTTGTGTGTCACCCGCACCTCTGCACAGACAGGGAAATGACGTAGGGAATTCCCACAATAATCCAATAGCACGCGGCAACAGCACACTCCCAATGTGCAAATTTTCTTCCAAAAAAATCCTAGGTCGCACCAGTGTGTCTTCTCAACTCTGAAAGTCTCTGTGTGGTCAACAACAGACACACATCATGCCCATATCGTGGCCAAAACCAATCATAGATAGCCAAGGGTGGAAGCTCTCAGATGCCCATGCCCAAGGGCATGTGCATGGGCATGTTCAGATAGAGATGTTCAGTTCGAAGACTTTGAGGCACTTTTAATTTTGACTTTATTTTTATTTTTACAAGAGATATTTTAAGTTTAAATTTCAGCTCAGTGAAGCACTTCAGCACAAGAGTTTTTTAGTACCGTATTTTCTGACTATAAGCCGCACTTGAAATCATTTAATTTTCTCAAAGGTACGCCTTGTGTGTCAGTTCTGGTTGTGCCAGCCCAGTAATCTGGTTGATTCCCAACCAGACCATGGGTGATGTCCTTTCAGTAATTAAATGACTGTAAAGCTGATGACAGTTCTGTCTCTGGCTCAGATGAAAATTATGCAATTACTCTTATAACGTGATTCTTCAGCAGCACAATGTTTTTTAGGGCACACAACAGTGAAGAGACTCCAAATCATGCCCGCCTCCTCTGTAATTTAACCCAGTAATGCACTTATGTATATAAAAAAAGGACTGCCCTATTTCATCTGTGCAATATTACTAAAATAAGAAACTTCTTGGGTCATTTCAAATAGTCCATTTTGCTTAAGAAGGTTCCTAAATGACTGAAGTGACCTATCTGAGTATCTGTGTGGTGGACATATTAAGAATTGTTTGATCTGTTCAGTTGCTAAGGAAAGGAAGCTTCAGTGCTTCCTTTATTAATTTATTACTTTAGCAAAGGATGCACTGTGATCATTCTTTATGAAATAAGAGGAGAAAATGTTGTCCCATAATTGATAATGAAAGACCAGCTAAGCATTCATGAAAACAAATGATTGGACGGTGGCGCAAAGCAGCACAGATTATTCAAACATTAACTATAACTGTTAGGATGCCCGGGTCGTTGACCCAGGGTTTTGAGTTTATTATATTATTTATCATTTCTAGCCTTTGGTTTCTTTGTTAGAGTTCTGTCTTATGGTTTATGTCTCTGTGTTCTCTAGTTGCTCTGTCTCCCCTGTCAGCTGTATTCCCTTGTCAAGTTCGCGTCTCTGTGTTATTTTTCCTGTTTTACTTTGAAAGTCTGTGTCTCATGTAAATGCGTCTGGTTTTGCATCCTTTGTCTCGTTAGGCCTGATTTTCCCCAGCTGTGTTTCCCTCCTGTTACCCATTCCCTGATTGCTCCCTCTGTGTATTTTAGCCCTGTGTTTCTCTGTGTCCATGTCGCGATCTACCCTTATCTAGCTGTGTGGTCTGTCTGTATAAGTTTACCTTGGAGTCTCAGTTTTGTTATTTTTTGGAGTTCAGCATTAAAGCTGTATTTAAGTTCACCTTTTGTCTCCGATTGTCTGCACTTTGGGTCCTATTCCTGCCTGCACACAGCCGTTTCATAACAATAACTCCATATTCAAATTCCTTCCATAACGTGCTAAGTGATATAAAATTTTAAAAACAATATGTGAAATTAATGCTGCTGTAACAAAAGCTGCTTTTTGTCAAGTTGTTGTCTTCCATTAACAAGATTGATGTAAGATTTCTAAAATAAGATTAGGATATTTATTAACTGATCAAAGTGTGTTTAAGGCTCAGTATAATACAGTTTGTATCCTCATAAATGCATTTTTGCTTCAGATTAACTGAGATAAGAGGTAAATCAAGAGAAGATTGAGACAGTGAGGTAAATTACTATGATGCTAAAGCCACAGGGTGATACTAACTTTGAGCCATAATTTAAGGAGAAATAAAATCCAGCCCGTACACGTCAGTAATAACCAGCATTCTGGCATTAGCAGCAAAAATTACTGAATAAAACTCCAGCAGACCCAATAAAGATACGGAAGAGAAAGCGCTCTCTCTGTCTATTTCAGTGAGGTAATTCAGATCAAGATAGAATCGGTATGTTTTTAATAGAGAGGTAAACCCTTCTCATACAAACTGCTGGGCACTGAGCACTGAGACTCTGGTGGAGCTCAAGATTTGTCAAGAGGGGAGCAGAATTATTACAAACTAAGCCACCAAATAAACCTTACAGGCTGACCTGTGCAAAGTGTAGAAGAGGACCAAAACATTTTTAGCGTCAGCTCATGAGTCTGCTGTTTGTTAATGAAGAAATTTATACTGTGCCTGTCTGACTGGTTATGAATTGGTGCCATAAAAATTAAAAGAACATCTTATGACAGTCATGCCAGCAAACGTACAGCTGGTTCCACTCAAATGTGTAGTAATTCTCAATATTTTTTCAAACAGTACAAAGGAAATACTGAAATGTGCAGGAGAAAAAAAGTTATTTCCAACTCTGGTTTCCTCGTTGGGTTTTTGCTGTGCAGCAGAAGAAATTCATTTGACACAGAGATAAATATAATATACATATATTATACACAACATACAGCCAGACATTTCCAGTATTTCCAGTATCTAGAGCGTACAGAGTTATGATTCATTTGTGTTTCTACGTCATATTTTAAAGTACATACTACATTTGAACCACTGTATTATTTCAAAGCAAAGTTAATATTGAGTAGATTATCCTAGTAAGGCAGTATTGATATGTTATTGTTCCCCCCATGCCCCAACAACAAATGTGAAGACACTACTAAATCAACATCTCAGTAGAAACTACATTTACTGTATCATTTTGAATTTTATTAGCATCATGACTAAAATAAAGGCATTACTGAAAACAGCATTTTTTGTTATTTTTTGTTATTTGATTTGTATTGCTAAAAGGTCTTTAAAAATAACACAGTAGCTGTGAAAAAAGAACAAGTTCTTACCTTGTATTTCTATTATGTAGAACAAAAATAGCGCAAACAGGACTACACCACGAGTCATGATTCTCTCAAATGATCAATGAGGAAGCAGCGTAACATTTTGTCAAAGGAGACAAAATGTTACGCATGTTAAGCTGACAGGAAGAAAAGCTGACTTCCTGTCAGCTTTTCTTTCCTTTTTTGGATAGGTGTAATGTTTATTTGTTTTTAGTTTTTATTAAAAATGTTTCAAATAGTTTAAAGAGGCTTTTCCGTTATAATTGAGCAATGAAAAGGGTTATTTTCAGTGTTTTAAGCAATGCAAATGTATCTTTGGCACGTGTCAGTGTTTGAAATGACATCAAAGAGAGACAAAGACATCCAACTAGACACCCACCCCCTTTATGACTGAACCAAAGACAAATGATCATGTTAGCAAAGCTGCGTTTGGTAGATGTGTTACAAATCTACAGACATGCAGATAAATTTATGTTAGGGTTTCAGTAGGATGCAGCTGAGGTTAACATAGTATCAGTAAGACTTAA